AGAGAGAGAGAGAGAGAGAGAGAGACTGACCTGCTTCTTGGACGTTGGCGGCGGCTGGCTGGTTCGGCGGCGAGGGCTGGACGAGGATGGCTGCGGGGCTGCAGGGGGGACGTGGATGGCGGCTTCCTCGTGGATGGCTGCGGGGCTGCAGGGGGGACGTGACGGGCAGCAGACAGTGTGCCCGCGAGATTCAAAAACAGCCAGTTTGAAAGTGCTGGCCCTGCCTCCCGCCACCCCACCTGAGTCTGCACAGACTGTGGTGGGTCCGGCCTTCGACCAATGGTCGGTAGGGCGAAAAGACACACAAAAATCGGCCCAGTATTTTTGCGGGGCCGCGGAGGACCCGAATAATGTCCTTTGTGGCCCCTTTGTTTTTCTGATTTTTCGTTGGGGGGGCCGGTTCTGGACGTCCAGGACCGGACACCGGACCCCTACATAATGTTTGGGGGTGTCTGGAAACCGGTCGGTTACCATGCAATTTATGCCTTTTTTTTTTTTTTTTTTTGCAATGTGGCAAACTTTCTCCTTGTCATCCCAATTTCCACGGATATCCCGTAGGCTAGGGGACTGTTATTGGCTTCTGGTTAACGGACCAGGTGCATAGAATGACCACCCTCACTCCCTCCACTGTCAAATCATGATGACATCAACAACAAAAGGATCTGTCAACAATGGACCAGGCCGTAAAATAGAATGACTGCTCCTCTTTTTTGAATCAGTGGTGACATCAACAATAATGGACCTCGCCATAATAATAAATCAATAACTGAAATGAGCGCTCCACTTGCAAATTATGATGACGTCAACAATAACGAGGCAGGGTGGGAGGGGGGCGGGCGTGGGAGCGGGTGGGGGGGGGACGAGAATCTAGAAGCGAGGAATTCCATGACATCATGAAACGAATCGATGAACCCAGACATTTTTATGACCAGGTTCATGCTTTCTAAGTGCAAACATAGCAACGGCGAGTAGTGCCTGCCTGCGCCCCCTCCCCCCCCCTGGTCCCCCAACCCCCCCCCGCCTCCCACATGCAATTTTGTATTGATGGTATACAACCAGGTCTGTGTATTTTTCTCTAGGCTACTTGGGGGGTACAGATTGGTTTTAAAGGGGCTAAAGCGGTCAAAAGTCGTTTGCATTGCAATTCTACACAACATTATTATTATTATTGTTTATTTCCCCTTTTTTTTTTTCCGTCTTTTTTGCACTGAGGCTGCCCGGAGCCCTGTCCAGGGGTCATGCCCGGCCAGGCACAGGGGCATGTGTCCGGGCACAAGTTGGGTGCCAGGGCCGCCGGAAAAGATACGCTAGTTTTTTTTTTTTTTTTTTTTTGATTTATTGATTGCTTTTAAACCACCATGCCAACGGCCCCTGCTCTGTTCACTTTGCTTTTCTACAAGTACCGAGCCAAAATCTACAGTGCCCAGGGCTTGATTTGACTTCTTGCAATGAATTTTATTTGACTTAAAGCACAAGTACCTCTGCCAGTGTTGGGAAAATAGGGAAAAACTGGCATTTTCCCCAAACTCCTAAAAAATTGGAGGCCAGGCCTGACGACGGCTGCCATTGATAAATCTCAACGGTGGCCGTCGTTTCGTTTCAGCCTCCTAAAAGGCCGGAGGGCCACCCGAGGGCCTGCTAGTTTCCCACTCAGCAAAGGTACTAGTGCAATAACCCGTTCATTATGCCTCGTTGAATGGCTAAGGGGCCCACAGGCCGTGACCCCGGTTTCTGTCCAAGAGGTCGAAGGGGTGGAAGGCCCTTCGAAATAGCCCCAGGGCCCGAGCGCCCGACAGTTTACTTCGGTCAAGTGCCTGAGGCCATACAGTCAAAGTCAAGACGGACCCAGCCCGGGCCGCCGGTCAGACATACTCACTTGTTTGTATCCAGGTACCAAGACAGCATCAGGACCAAGTGGAAGTCTGCAGCTGTATACAATCCAGGCCCTCGGCTCTGAGTCAATCGGAGCCACCGTGGGTGGGAGACCTGAGGCCAGTCTGCCTCGTCAAGCACTACATAAGGCTTGGTCTCCAGGGAGTCGACATTTCAGTCTTGCTATGCTGCCTTGACGCTGGCTTGACGCTAGCTGGACACTGGCTTGACGCTGGCTCGACGCTGGCTGGACGCTGGCTGGACGCTGGCTGAGCGCTGGCACTGTGGACGACAACCCGGGACTGAGGCAGCATGCTGGCGCCTTCTCTGCTGAGCGCCAGCCTATGCTGATGTGGCACATGCCACCTGTCTTCATCGCTGATGTGGCATTTGGCCACGCTGTCTACACTGGGTGATTGGTCACGACAAGGAGAGAGATCGGGATCTGTGGATGATTGAAGAGGATAGGGGTACTTACCTGAGGTTGACGTCGATACTGTGCGCTGTTGATTGTCTCCATTGTCTTCATGAGGGAATAGTGCCATGCGGCACCTCGATGTGATCAGGAACTGTCAGGCTCGTTTCTGGTTACTGTTTAATGACGTGGAGGCAAGGGGAAGCCCAGAGGAGTGGGAAATGTTGGGCTATCCTCTTGATGGTCATTGCTGTTATTATCTCTTCCACCTTCTGAACTGTCTATTCCCCCTCACCTCTCTTCGTCCTCTGGAAACGAGACATTGTATCAGATATCACATTCATGATTATTGGAGACATTGATCTGAGTTGAGTTACATGTTACTTCGACATCTGACGAGTATCCTTCAGTCTGGGTTCATTACACTTGTGGTTTACCAAAAAAAAAAAAAAAAAAACATACACGGCCCAGGCCCGGCAGGGGTTTGGTGGGAAAAAGGCCCAAGGGGACCGAAAAAAAAAAACAGTGCACTGTAGATGTTAGGCTTGGGGAACTTTTGGTTTGTCAAAACAGGGCCCTCGCTCCACCACCTCCCGACAAGCAGAAAAGACAAGAAATATGGCGGTGTATCTTTACATGTTAAAGGAAAATATCCATTTTCAAAATTTTGCACATTTGGTGAGCGGTGGATGGAGTGGTGGTCTAAACCAAATTGCAGGTTGCTGTGTTTTTCTGACTGCAGGGAGGCGACAACTGCTTTTGTTTTCTCAATTCTTTCTTTCTTCCGCTTGATTCTTTGTGCGCAGGCCTATTATGGCTCGGGAGCGCAGCCTCCGCCTCATGGTGCAGGGTACTATGCGCCCGCTACTTCGGGTCCACAGGCACATCACCCCTATATATGGGGTGGACAGGTCAGGGTCCCATCATCTGGTCCCAGTCCCATCCTCTGGTCCCGGCTCCGTCGTCTTTTCTAAAGTAAATGCATCGTACTATGATCTTAGCATAATTCATTTTAAGAGAGGCCTTGTAAAAATCCCTGGTCGGGAATTGGAAGACAACACTCTCGACAGATGTCCAAGGAATTTGTGAATTTTGAATTCCGCCTCTCTGCCCAAAAAAAATAATAAAAAAAGCAAGTAAAGTAAAAAAGGCAAGCGGTCCTGGGCCACTCTGGTGTAACTGTTGAACATTCCATTTTTTCGTACGGTAACTGCCGTAGGGATTGTACTATGGGTGAGTGGTTGTAATCTTACTTCGAGGATTTGACGAAAGCGACATGGCGGATCCGAGAGGACCTGTTACAGTTGTGGCGTATATTGTATTTCCAGGGAATGTGTAACTGTTGAACATTCCACTCTGGTCACATAGGCTGTAATCCATTAAAACTTTTAATAAATGTTTAACTTTGAAATGTTTCAGTAGATGTTTAAATACATTTGGCTCATATTTCAATTCCATTCCCATCCACAGGCTGTAATCCATTAAAACTTTTAATAAATGTTTTAACTTTGAAATGTTTCAGTAGATGTTTAAATACATTTGGCTCATATTTCAATTCCATTCCCATCCACTGCCCCCACCAAACGTATTTAATCCGTTGGATCGTCCAAATACATGGGACTCGTATATGACATGAAATAAGTCCTTGAGAAGTGTCCATGGTTTTTTATCGTCCTCTGCCGTTCCCTGCAGATGTCGTCTTATCCCTTTTTTTTTTTGGCAACAGAAAAAGGATTTTGACATTTTGCATGTAATGTGAAGTATATATATGATATACATATACAGGGTGGCCGGCGTTTGGGACGTCTTATCCCTTTTTTTTTCTTGTTTTCTTCTGTTTTTTTCGCCTTTGCGCTCTGATATTCATGTGATGATATATATAGTCGAACAGAGATGCCCGGTTAAATATATATATTACAGTGTAATCAGTGAGGGGATTCTGCAGACTGTTGAGGGTTCAGCCTCCTGATGATTCGGTGAAACTCCGACGAAACGGTTTGTCACAGCCCCTCGTTTGTTGTCCTCTTCTCTCTCTCTGCCTACGGTTTTACCGGGGAGTTCTGTTTGTGACGATATATATATTAATATGGGTAATAGTCTACGGACTATATGAACACATACATATGGTTCAGGCTACCCACCCTCGGGTGGAGCCAACCCCTGCGGCCGCCCCCCCCCCCCCCCCCCGGGGAAAAAAAGGAAAAATACAAAGGATTGCATGTAAGATTTATGTGATTGGTGAATTCGGGGGTATTAAAGCCCTGAGTGTGTCATGATTTTGTGTTCAATTATTTATGTTAAATTTACAGTAAAGTTAATATTTAATATCTATAGATTCTATACGGATGTTATGCCTAGGGTGCCAGAGTGCCCTGGGACCACTGGCCCCGAGCAGGGCACCTCAGCCCGGGCAGCCCACATCCACTGCAGTGGGTCACCTGGGCAAGCCGAAAAATGAGGTAAGCCCCACCCACCCTTACCCACACCCACTCACCTTCATTCAACCCCCCTCCACTCCCCCGCACCCCACCCCGCCCTATCGTGGTGGGGCATTTCTGTGCCCACCGAGATGTGCCAAAACCTGGCCTTATGTTTTAAGTTGGTGCTCCTACCTGAGGGGGTCTGCGGGGCGTAAATAGTGTTTAAAGAGGGGGCATATAGGGGTAATTTTCTCTTTTTTTCTTAATTCTCAATTTAACTGTACGATTCGGAGTGACCCTCCACCAAAAGTTGCTTCATTTGTAACTCTGCACAACATAGTTCTCGTTCGGATTATTTTTTACTATTTTATTTGAAATTATTTCAAACTTAAATTCCAGATTTGCGCTGGGGCTCTCGGGGACTTCGCCCGGGACTCTGCTCGGCCCTTGCCCCCCAGCTGGGTGCCACGCCTGAAGCTTAGGTGTCTACGTTCAATGTTGTAACATGGTGAATATATTATTATTATTTATAATTTTATACTTTGAACTTTCAACTTCCTTTTTGCATTCATCTGTCTTTTTTTTTTTACATAGTTTATAATTATAATTTGGTGAGTTCTTGTAAATTACTAAATTTACTAAACTCAATTTATAGCTCTTGGCTTTTTCTTTTGTGCTCTTTGTGTGCGTGTGCAGATGATGCCTTATGGCGCCCCTCCACCTCCTTATCCGACAATGTATCCAGCAGGAGCTATGTATCATCCCTCTATCTCTCCGGTAAGCAGATGTGTGGAAGAGTTAATAGCACGTGCATGAATGATATGCAGCTTATGTGCAATCAGACTCGTTCTCAAACACACTTTTCATGCATGTAAACAGCAACGCAGCATACTGGTGACATGCGCCCACTCAAAACTCGGAGATATGTCTTCAGATACGAGTTCACTCTCAATTAGCTATGGCGACTTCAGCGCCCAAACATGTTACGGACTTCGCCAGGGCTCGATCCCTGGTCTATCTTTTGCTGTTTCGGCTACATCCCGTTTTCGGCCTGGCACCCTTTTTCCAAACCCCTCCTTTGGTACCGTAGGATTTTGGACAACTGGCGCCATGCTGCAATTCGGGCGCCACTTTCAAATACTGCATTTTTCAGTTCTGCCCTCGGGGCCTTTGCAGAAAT